GTGAATTCAGCATCAGGTCATTCATGGCATCCATCCATGCATACATCAGAATGTCACGTGTTAACATGTTTTGCTTTTTTTTTAAATCACTTGACAAAAATGATATTTGTGCTATGTTTTGCATGAAAAGTGCAAATTAAAAAGACACAAACTTTTTCAAACACATCGAATTGAATAGGTTTAATAATTTTTTTTTCAATTGAATTGGGTGTGTTAGTAGAGTCTGTGAATTAATAGTTTTTAGTGTAGATCAAACTATTGAATGAGAACGCCGCATATGGACAAGAAAACAGTTGATAGCACATGTAAAACCAATGTTAAAAAAAGTGCCATGGCAATGTTTTGGTTCTGCAATCTCCATATTATGACCCATTATCCAAAAAATTGTCCAGGGTGTGTTTCAGATAAATAAAAAAGTTTGTTTTCACATACATACATACATTACATACCTTTTTCCATCACATTAGACGTGACAAATTCCCCAATTTTACCGCTATTTACACCCATTCTAATCTGGAAAAAAAAAAAAAACACATATCATTAATCTGTCAGCAGATGCAAAAGAAAAGCTTCAAAGTTTGGATTTTCATTTCTCAGATAAATCTTTGCAACACACTGTTAAAACAGTATGTTGGCATTGATGTCAGTGATGCGCTGAACATTTGAGCACTTTTCTTTGTTTGTGTCAATTGCAGAACCACTATAACGCATAATAGAATCCTATTAATGAATACAGATTTTCGCAAAGTGCAAAATGTTATTTTTCGTTAAATTATTATTACAATTTAGCAGGAAAAGGATGTGCCTTAAGACATTTATCACAAAAAGCTATACACAATGTTTATAATTTATTTCAACAATGAGCCCTTTCTTATACTTACATATACACATATTATGATCGTTCTAAATTGAGTGTAATTTGCAATGGAATTGAATTCCAAAGAATAATTTAAAAAAAAAATGTACTCACTTTGTCTTCATTACTACTCAGAAAAAATTTCAAACTTCTCTCAATATTCCTTCCAAGTTCAGCTTCTGCCACACCCTACAAAACAGTTAATTATTTTCATTAATACTTTTATTCGACTTGTTATAATTATTCTAATAGCCTACTAACATTCAATGGGGAACAGTTTACTAAAACCTTCACCCCAAACTACATGTACCGTCAGCGCGTCCTCATAGCTGTATTTTGATTATCAGTAATTTGTTATTCCCTTGCCATATCATTTCATCGCACGTAGTTTCCAATGGCAACCAACCTTTTCTCAACTGGTCCACAAACATTAAAGGGCAGTGATCATGGCGCCGCGCATGTGCGACATTTGTTGTTGTTGTGTTGATAAATATTGATTTTCCCAAAATCCAATACACTCTTCTAATGGAAATCACAAGTATGAGATTTGACCTGGACGCGACTTGCACTGATTACCGCCGGTGACTCCTTCGATACCTTCCAATCACCTAAAAAATACCTAATTAAAGCCTAGTAACGTATCATTTTGTACTCGTTGATCTGCACAACGGTCAAAGTCGCCATCTTTGTTTATATGAGACCCATATATTTCGCGCAAGCGTGGCGCGACGACTACCGCCCTTTAAATCATTTGTGTATACCCAATTTGTTATAACTACTTACTGGTTTTTGAAAGTACAGTTGGTAGCTGTAAACACCAGTGCTCTTTTTCAAAGCAACTAAAGGATTGAGGTCTGTCTTCACTGGATACATTGGTGTATTGATGCCTCCTATGGCCCTATAGGAATGCAAGAAATAATTCTCAGCATGAGTAAACCAAAAATATAATAGTTTGACTTAAATACCACAGCAAATTGATTCTCGAACACAGTTTTGTCAAATCTGTTCTCATTAACTTGATACCTCGTTCTGTCAATATAAAATAGCTAACCTCGTTCTATCTAGATAAAATCGCTCACCTCGTTCTGTCTGGATAAAATAGCTTACCTCATTCTGTCTGGATAAAAATGCTTTTAATTATCACATTGTTCTGTCTAAATGAAATCCCTCACCTTGTTCTATCTGAATAAAATAGCTAACCTCGTTCTATCTAGATAAAATCGCTCACCTCGTTCTGTCTGGATAAAATAGCTTACCTCGTTCTGTCTGGATAAAAA